ATGCCTGTCCCTGTCTTTCTGGGGTGTGGGGTTGAACAAGATCCTGGAGATCCCAGGGCTAGCCCGGGATGGCTGTGATTTCAGCTGAGTTTCCCTGCTGTCCCCTCTGACCTACCTCTATAGTTCCACCCGCAAGGATGTGGTGGGGGCTGTGGCTAATGGGATGCGAGGAGCCGCCCACCCCTGTAGCCATTGTGGCCAGGATATTTGTTCCTTCTGGGCAGCCACAGTGACCTGAAGCTTCTGTGGTGCGTCCTGGGGAGCCGAGTCTGTGGTGGGTTTTTTTTTTTTTTTTTTTTTTTTTTTTTTATCTTTCCTCTCTAATGAACATATAAGATCGGGAAATCACAGGGCCTGACATCACTCACAGGGTCTGGGGATTCTGGCTGTCCCGTTGAAACCTTTACTCAGCTCTGGAGGCTTGTGCCACCGTGTTCCCACCTGGTTCTGACCATCTATGCCCCCCACCCCCCGTTTCTCTGTCTTTGTTGTTTACCTGGTGAGCACACCTGCCCTATCTTCACCTGTGCGTTCTCACTCCACTCAAGCCTGCTGTTTCTCAACTGGGGCAGTTTTGCCTCCTGGGGGACATTGGGCAATGTCTTGAGACAGTGTTGCTTGTTGGGAGTGGGGGAGGGATGCCACTGGCATCTACTGTGTAAGAGACCAGGGACACCGCTTAACACCCAACAGTGCATGGGGCAGTTCCACGTCTCGGTGAGAAATTACCTGGCCCAAATATCAACAGTGTGGAATCTGCTCTAGGATAACACAAGAACCTTCCTGAAGCAGCAGTTGGGTCCCCCCATTCTCTGCACCCTGCCAGCCAGCAGTGGGGAGGAGCACTCGGTGGCCGGGGGTCACTGACCAGCGACGCTGCCACCAGAGCTGGAGAAGGGCCTGGAGCGGGGTAGGGGGAGCCCTGGACTCAAAGACCCAGCTTCTAGCTCAGCTCTGTTCCTCTGGGCTAAAAACCTGGATAAGTCACTTTCCTTCGTAAAGGAAGGCAACAGTAAACCTGTTTCCTCATCCGTAAAGTCAAAGAGCTGCACTGAATATCCCCTCCAGTTCTTTGAGATTCCTGGATGCTGTGTGTAGAGCCAGGAGCTGGGGTGCAGGCAGGTGGAAGATGGGGTTCTCTTTCTTCCTGACTGGTGCAGTAGAAGCCTGAAGGATTTGCCAGGACTGAGAGTTCGTTTGAAGCCTGGCCTTATTTCTTTCTATGCCCACCATGACTAAGGTAGACCCTACCTTCTCTTTATTTTTCTTTTATTTTTCTCTTTTTCTTTTTTGTTTTTTTGAGACAGTCTCGCTCCATTGCCAGGCGCCAGGCTGGAGTGCAGTGGCGCGATCTCAGCTCACTGCAACCTCCACCTTCCCAGGTTCAAGCAATTCTCCTACCTGAGCCTCCCGAGTGGCTGGGACTACAGGCGCACGCCACCATGCCCAGCTGATGTTTGTATTTTTAGTACAGATGGGGTTTCACCATGTTGGCCAGGTTGGTCTTGATCTCTTGACTTCGTGATCCACCCGCCTCGGCCTCCCAAAGAGCTGGGATTACAGGCTTGAGCACAGCTCCCGGCCTTCTCTTTCTTTCTTTCACCTTCCTTTCCCTCTCTCTTACCGCCCCCCCCCACCGTCTTTCCTTTCCTCCTTTCCTCCCTTCCCTCCCTTCCCTCCCTCCCTCCCTGTTTTCCCCAGAGTTTTACCTCGGAGCCCATGGCTGACCAAGAGGCTCATATATGATATTCAGGGGTCAGCAAATTACAGTCCATGAGCCAAACCCAGCCTGCATTTGCTTTTGTAAATAAATATGTGGCTTTTTGGTGTTCTTTTTTTCTTCTTTTATTGGTTTATTACAAAGGATAAAACTCTGGAATAGCCAAACGGAAGAGCTGCATGAGGAGGCGTGGGGTCAGGTGTCGGGGCCAGGGAGCAGGGGGACGCCTCCTTCCCGGGGCCTGGATGTGCTCACCACCCAGCGGTTCTCTGTAAATAAAATGTTATTGGAACATAGCCATACCTACTCATTTACATGTTGCTATGGCTACTTTCTTTTTTAAATTTTGTGTAGAGGTAGGGTCTCACTGTGTTGCCCAGGCTGGTCTGGAACTCCTGGACTCAACTGATCCTTCTGCCTTAGCTGCCCAAAGTGTTGGGATTACAGTTGTGACCCCCCACCCCCACCCTGTGCCTGGCCAGTGGCTGCTTTTTTTTTTTTTTTTGAGACGGAGTTTTCGCTCTTGTTACCCAGGCTGGAGTGCAATGGCACGATCTCGGCTCACCGCAACCTCCGCCTCCTGGGTTCAGGCAATTCTCCTGCCTCAGCCTCCTGAGTAGCTAGGACTACAGGCGCGCGCCACCATGCCCAGCTAATTTTTGTATTTTTAGTAGAGACGGGGTTTCACCATGTTGGCCAGGATGGTCTCGATCTCTTGACCTTGTGATCCACCCGCCTCGGCCTCCCAAAGTGCTGGGATTATAGGCGTGCTTTTTTTTTTTTTTTTTTTTTTTTTTTTTTTGAGATGGAGTTTCACTTTTGTTACCCACGCTGGAGTGCAATGGCAAGATCTCGGCTCACCGCAACCTCCACCTCCTGGATTCAGGCAATTCTCCTGTCTCAGCCTCCTGAGTAGCTGGGATTATAGGCACGCACAACCATGCCCAGCTCATTTTTGTATTTTTAGTAGAGACAGGGTTTCACCTTGTTGACCAGGATGGTCTCAATCTCTTGACCTTGTGATCCACCTGCCTCAGCCTCCCAAAGTGCTGGGATTACAGGCTTGAGCCACCACGCCCAGCTAGGCGTGCTTTTATACTAAGAAGGCAGAGTTGAGTAGCTGTGACCAAAACCCTATCAGCCACAAAGCTGAGGATATTTACTCTCTGGCCCTTTGCAAAAAGTGTTTGTGACCCTTGATCTAGCGGTTCAATGTCTAATTGTTTAGAGGCTGAGATAGGGCAGGAGGGTGGGTCCCAGGATTATCAGGTTAGAGTTAGGGGAAGGTCACTTTCCTAAGGGTGGGGAGGAAGGAGGTCTGACCTGTGACCAAGAGCAGAGTGTCATCTCCAGGCATTCTGCACGTCCTCACCCACATCACTGTGTGGCAAGTCGGCCAGCTGCCTGGCTCCCCCCGGCCCCGGCCTGAGCGAACTTTGTTGGAATGACAAGCGGTATGGTATGGACTTTGGGAGGGGACACACTGCTGGTGGGGGAAGCCATTAGACCCGGCAGCAGAGGCTTGAGAGAACAGGGAAGTGGATGGGGGTGAGGACACAGAGAGGTCAGACCGGGAGCCCTGGAGCCAGGCTGTGGGCAGGAGAGGAGAGGAGGGAGGTGCTGGATTTGCAGTGGGTGCTTGAAGGCCGACCGTGTGGCACACCCTGCGGGACCGGACTCGGTGGTGAACAGACCCGTTAAAACTCTGGAAGCTCGCTCTGCAGTGGGCAGATGACGGTTCAGCCAGCAGGGGTAGAAGAATGTAGCCGGTGCCTGCTGGGAGACGGGACATCTGAAGGGCTGTGGGGGGCAGGTGGTAGGGAGGACGCACCCTAGCTGAAGGTTTCCTGGGAGCAGTGATGTGTCCCAGCTGAGCCCTGAAGGATGCTAGGTGTCACAGAGGTTGCATCAGGGAACTGTTTGTGTCCAGTACCGCTCATGGGACAAAAGTAAGGGACACTGAGGAGTGAGGTGGGGACTAATCATTGGATCACAGGGTCTGCACTGGGTAGGGCATCATGTGGATAGGTTTTGTTTTAGCCGAGGACAGGAGGGAGACAGACAGGGACCCGTTAGGCTGAGGTCAGGGGCCACGTAGGGTGTGGTGGGCTCCCGTGGGGCAGCAGCAGGCATGCGGAGGAAGCACCCACCACCTGAGTTTTGCAGTTGGAAGAGTGGGTCTGGACTGGGGGCACCTCTCAGAACTGTGCTGCCTGCTGGATGGGAGGGAGGCAGGTATCTGGTGTCCAAGCATCACCTCTCACCCACCATACTTGGTTAAATCCCTACGCCCATCTCCCTCTACCCTGCCCAGCTCTGCTGGGCTTAGTATTTGGGACAAGTCTCTCTGGGAGAGAGAGGGGCTGGTTTGGTCCCAATGCTGAACTTCATCTTGGCCCTTGCCAGGAGCTGTGAGAGTGGTGTCTCCAGGCTCCTGGGCTCTACCTCTGCTGTTCTTCGGATTTCTGGTGAATCACCTAAGAGTCAGTCTGCAGATCATGGCGGCGGGGACCAAGTCATTTAGGGTCTAGTTCCTGCCTCCCACTCTCCAATGATGAAAGAAAGTAGAAGTTCCCCAATCTTCATCTCCCCCAGACACCAGAAGGTGGAGATGTCGCAGGTGGGATCCCCATTTATGTGACACCCAGCGAAGGCTGAAAGGCTGGGGAGCTGGTTCTGTGAGTCCCAGCAGCTCCACCCCAAATCTGATTCAGAAAGAGAACTGTGTCGCCCACGCACGTGGAGGAGCGGGTCAGCCTGTCTCCCTGGGCCTGTCCTTTCCTTCCCTTCTCTCTCTGGGGACCATGACTCAGGGTAGGGTGTCCACTAACTCCATAGGGGTCGAGGTTAGACAGCAGGAAGGACTTAGCACATCTCCAGGCTGGCTATTCCTAGGAGCCAACCCATAGATTTCGTCTCTTCCCAGGCTTGCTGCCTAGAATTGCTGGATTCACCTTCACATCCTTAAAGGTGGTCATGTTTGCTCTGGCAGCACCCTGGCTTGCAGGGACAGAGGAGCCATTGTCTTTTAAGAGAAAGGTTCTCTCTCTCAAGTTGCAGAGAAGTGTGTCTGAGGCTACTGGAACTCTAACCAGATTTGCAAAATCACTCTCCTCTGAATGCCTGTGGATGGAGAAACAGGCAGGGTTATACCATTGATTGCTGGCTTATTTCACGTTGTTAGGAGCATGGGGTTTAAATGACAGCCCCTTGGCAAATAGGCTTTTGTGCCGTGTGGCCAGCCCGAGTTAATCCTCTGCCTCCCGTTCTCTGCTTGCAGCCTTATGATCTCATTGCGTCCCCCTCTGCCCACCAGACTTGGACTTCAGATCTGACCCCAGACCTGCCAGCTACCTCAGGAGGGCCCACCTCCCCACCCGCCCAGCAAAATGCCGATCCTGAAGCAGCTGGTGTCTAGCTCGGTGCACTCTAAGCGCCGTTCCCGAGTGGACCTCACGGCCGAGATGATCAGCGCTCCGCTGGGCGACTTCCGCCACACCATGCACGTCGGCCGGGCCGGAGACGCCTTTGGGGACACCTCCTTCCTCAATAGCAAAGCTGGCGAGCCCGATGGTGAGTCCCTGGACGAACAGGCCTCCTCTTCATCTTCCAAACGCAGTCTCCTGTCGCGGAAGTTCCGGGGCAGCAAGCGGTCACAGTCGGTGACCAGGGGGGACCGGGAGCAGCGGGACATGCTGGGCTCCCTGCGGGACTCGGCCCTCTTCGTCAAGAATGCCATGTCTCTGCCCCAGCTCAATGAGAAAGAGGCCTCAGAGAAGGGCACCGGTAAGCTGCCCAAGAGCCTGTCGTCCAGCCCTGTGAAGAAGGCCAATGGTGGGGAGGATGGCGACGAGGCGGGTGTGGAGGAGGCAGTACCCCGTCGGAATGGGGCCATGGGTCCCCATTCCCCAGACCCCCTCCTCGACGAGCAGGCCTTTGGGGACCTGACAGATCTGCCGGTTGTGCCCAAGGCCAGCTATGGCCTGAAGCACGCGGAGTCCATCATGTCCTTCCACATCGACCTGGGGCCCTCCATGCTGGGTGATGTCCTCAGCATCATGGACAAGGACGAATGGGACCCCGAGGAGGAGGAGGGCGGTTACCATGGCGATGAGGGCGCTGCTGGCACTGTCACCCAGGCTCCCTCATACACTATGGCCGCCACTGCCCTGGCAAGGCAAGAAGGCAAAGCTGGCCCAGACTTGCCCTCCCTCCCCTCCCATGCTCTGGAGGACGAGGGGTGGGCAGCGGCCGCCCCCAGCCCCGGCTCAGCCCGAAGCGTGGGCAGCCACACCACACGGGACAGCAGCTCCCTGTCCAGCTGCCCCTCAGGCGTCCTGGAGGAGCGCAGCCCTGCCTTCCGGGGGCCAGACAGGGCCCGGGCTGCTGCCTCGAGGCAGCCGGACAAGGAGTTCTCCTTCATGGACGAGGAGGAGGAGGATGAAATCCGCGTGTGAGCAGACAGCGGGTGGCCACCCGGAGCTCTCGGCTGCATCTTCTCCCTGCCTCCACCCCACTATGACCTTTGACCCTACGGTGCAGGGGCAGCCAGGAGCCTTGCTTCGAACCGCGGACCCTGGACCTTGTAGATGAGGGACATTGGCCTGGCCCCCGGGCCTTCGGAGGACTTGAGGGGCTGGCATGGGGGCCGGCTGGCTGCCTGACTGCATCACGCTCCCTGCACTTGGGCTGCGTGGGACAAGGGCTGTTTTCGCAGCAGGAATCGGCTTTCCTCTCTTGGCCTCCCTTTCTTCCACCCTGGCCTCAAATGGATGCCAGATGCCGACCTGAGTTCCTGCCACGTGCGGCCAGCAGGTCAGCTGGGAGGCAGCCTCGGCTCCAGGGATGAGGACACTCGGCTCCCCTTTTCTCTGCTGGCATTTCTGCTGTGCTCAGCGGTGGCTGCTGGGGATGCAGCTGCAGCAGGAGGAAGGAGGGGGTCTTGCCTTTCAGCCCCTCCCTGCTCCACTCCAGCTGCTGTTCTGGAAGTCTGGAACCCCTCGGAGCTGAGCTGGACCAGGGGCAGCCGCGAACATGGGCACTAAACGCAGCCCTTTCCCTGGGAAGAGACCAGGAAAGCCCTCAGGCTTCTGAAATTGCAAGAAGGGACCCTTCCAGGATGACACTAGGAACAGGGCTAGGGCCCTCGCTCAGTCCCTAGGAGCTCATTTGTTCTTTATTATTATGTTTAAATCCTTATAGAGCAGTATCAGGACAGCGTTAATAGGTCTGCCGCAGGAGAATCAATCCTTTTAGAAAACCTTTATACTAAGCTTCCTCTTTGAAATTCACAGTGGCGACGAGTGGGCTGGAGTCTGGGACATCCATGGCAAAGACACTAGCTCCACTTTAGTGCTTCCCAACTTGATTTAGAATGACACGGGGTGGGTGCCCGGTGTGTGTTTTCCCTACCCACCCCCCATAGCTATTAACAACTGAGGAAGGCCAGTGTAGAACATTTTTGGAGAATGATTTTTTTTTTTTTTAAATAATCATTTCTATGGGAGGAAAAGTTTTTTTTGGGGGGGTAGTTATTCCCTCCCTCTCCCCCACTCATACCCTCGGTACTGACTACTTCCCCTTCCTTTCTCAGGCCTCCCCCTCATCCCATACTTCTGAGGCCAGGGGTGCCAGATTTAGCAAAACCAAAATGGGGTGCTGAGTTCAATGTGAATTTCAGGTAAACAAAAAATAATTTTCTCGAATTAATATGCCCCCACGCAATACTTAGAACACTTAGGCCAAAAGTTATTTGTTTTTCTGAAATTCAAGCTTCTCTCTGAGTCCTGTAACTCTCCCGAGGGGACTGAGCAGAAGCTCAGGGGGTCACCCCAAGGTTGACTGCTGGTTATTCTTCTGTTCTGGGAACGGCTCAACCCACCTCCCTGTCTCCCTGTAGCCAGTGCGGGGAGGAGAGAGGCAGAACCAACCACAACCAGGGGCGTCCCCATGGAGACTCTGGCCTGGCCTCCTCTCTCTTGCCTGACTGAGACACTAACTTAGTTCCTGGTTCGGTGCCCTGTTGGTGCTCCTGTTTCCAAGAGCTTAACGCCCACGGTGGGGGAGGAATCGCAGGGGCTGAGCGCCCCACCAGCTGCCCTCAAATCCCATCCAGGCGAGTTCCAGACTCTAAACTGAATTTTTTTCATGATACTGTCAAAGCAATGAGGAATCATTAAAGAAAAAAAAAAAAGCCCTACAGCTCGCCTGGTATCTGTCTCAGCTTTTTGGGAGGGCTGTTTCAGGATAGGGGTGGGATCTGGACCCGGGTCCTAGGGCTGTCCATGGGGGCCTGAGGTGGCTTCTGTCTCTCTGTCCCTGGGGACCCGCCTCTGCTTCGATGCTGTCTGCCTGGGCGGGCCACTTCAGAATTTGGGGACGCAGGTGTCCCAACTGCTATCTGTTGGAGGCCCTTGTCACTTGGTCAGCTAGCTATTCTGTGCCTCCCTCTTATCCTCTGTAAAATGGGTATCCTGCCACTCTTAAAGGGCTGGAGTGCAGACACAGTGAAGTGGGCTTTTCTGGGTTTTGTTTTTGTTTGGTTTGGTTTTGTTTTGTTTTGGTGGGGGTAGTTTTTTTAATTGAGGCACAGTCCCACACTGTTGCCCAGGCTATAGTGCAGTGGCGCAATCTTGGCTTACTGCAACCTCCACCTCCCGGGTTCAAGCGATTCTCCTGCCTCAGCCTCCCAGGTAGCTGGGATTACAGGCACGTGCCACTACACCCAGCTAATTTTAATTTTTGTTTTTTTAGTAGAGATGAGGTTTCACCATGCTGGCCAGGCTGGTCTCAAACTCCTAAGCTCAAGTGATCTACCCGCCTCAGCTTCCCAAAGTGCTGGGATTACAGGTATGAGCCACCTGCCGGCTGACGTGGCCTTTCTGTCCAGCTGTGCTTAGGACTAGAGTGACTGTGTCCTTCCCAGCCCCCAGGTGTCCTGGTGCACGGGACTGTCACCGCCAGAAAGTGGCTGGCACTGCAGGCAGGCTCTACGCATGGCTGGGAGCGGGGCTGCCACCTCCTCTTGCCCTTTTACTGTAAAGCCCAGAAAATCAGCTTACAGGTGGCAGGTCCTTGGTCTAACCTGGCTTCTCAGGGAGACAGAAGCTCCGCTTCCCCATTTCCAGATGGAGAAATGTGCTCAGAGAGGCCTTGGGGTCGCCTTCTCTAATGTCCAGAATTCATTCAAAACTCCTGCCCTTCTCAGTCCCACCACTCCTGGGCACATCAAAGCCCTGGGAAATGAAGTCACCGGGTGAGGGTTCAATGGCCCCTGCACCCCGCTGCTCCGCCCCTTCACCTGCTGCCCCGCCCCTGCACCCCCGCTGCTCCACCCCTTCACCTGCTGCCCCGCCCCTGCACCCCCGCTGCTCCACCCCTTCACCTGCCCCTCCCCTGCACCCTCACCTCCTTTCCTTGCCCCACCGTGTTCCCCTCTGCCTGGGCAGCCTCAGAAGGGAGCCCCAGTCTGCGCAGGGCTGGCTCACTGCTTGCTGAAGCCCCTGTTTGCTCTCAGGAAATCTTGGGTACTCCACTGTGGCTAAGTTTCTGGTGGAAACCCTGCCCCTCCCCTGAGCATCCAGAGAGAAATGTGGGTTCCCTGCTCATCTCCCTGGGACGAAATTAGAGGCATAATTAAAATGTCACTCATGTGTCTTTGTCCCTCGACAGGCTCATGACCGTGGGGAGTCATGAGCAGGGCTTTCTGGCTGCCCCAAGGGAAGAAGAGAGAGGGAGGAGGGCTGGGTCCCAGTGGGAGATGGGTTCCTAGGGGCTACGGTCTTGCTCAGGGATGACTGGGGAAGGGAGGTACTCTTCAGGCGAAGCCCAGGCAGATGAGCAGGGGCTGTGCCTGCCAGAGTGCAGCCTCCCAAGAGAGAAAGGAGTGTACCTACACCGACTAACTAGGGACTCTTGAGGGGCCAAGAAAAGCCAGCTACCCCAAACCCTAGAATCTGTTGCTTGGCCCTTGATGGAAAAAGCTCTGAGCATTCAAGAAGACCCAGGGACCTGGCTTGATTCGCAGTTTTAAGGAGCATACCTTCTGGCTGGGGGTTCAGTGGACCCAGGGGACAAGGATGAGAGGAACAGCCAGAACCAGCCGGGCCACAGAGCTCAGTCAAGATTTGCTGGGTGCCAGGCACCGTGGCTCATGCCCATAATCCTAGCACTCTGGGAGGCTGAGGCAGGAGGATCCCAGGAGGCCAAAAGTTTGAGATCAACTTGGGTAACAGACAACATCTCTAACAACAACAACAACAACAACAACAACAACAAAAAATATATATATATATACATATATATGTGTGTGTGTATATATATATATATTTGAGACGGAGTATCACACTGTCACCCAGGCTGGAGTGCAATGGCATGATCTCAGCTCACTGCAACCTCCGCCTCCCAGGTTCAAGCAATTCTCCTGCCTCAGCCTCCCAAGTAGCTGGGATTACAGGCATCTGCCACCACATCTGGCTAATTTTTGATAGAGACGGGGTTTCACCATGTTGGCGAGGCTGGTCTTGAACTCCTAACCTCAAGTGATCCACCCATCTCAGCTTCCCAAAGTGCTGGGATTACAGGCACTCAGGCTGGAGTGCAGTGGCACCATCTCGGCTAGCTGCAACCTCCGCCTCCCGGGTTCAAGCAATTCTCCTGCCTCAGCCTCCCAAGTAGCTGGGATTACAGGCTTGCACCACCATGCCTGGCTAATTTTTTGTATTTTTAGTAAAGACAGGGTTTCATTGTGTTGGTCAGGCTGGTCTCAAATGCCTGACCTCGTGATCCACCCATCTCGGCCTCCAAAAGTGCTGGGATTAGAAGCATGAGCCACCGTGCCCGGCCAATAAATTTTTTAAAAAATGATTTGCTGGGTAGCCTTGGGCCAGTTATTTTCTCGCTCCAATTGGCTTCAATTTCTCTATTAAAATTAGGCAGTAGCTCAGTTGTTTTCAACTTTTTACCGGAAGCTTTGTTTGCAGTGAGGTCATGTTATTTTTTTTTAATTGATTTTTTTGTTTTGTTTTGTTTTGTTTTGTTTTGTTTTTGAGTCAGAGTCTCGCTCTGTTGCCCAGGCTGGAGTGCAGTGGTACAATCTCGGCTCACTGCAACCTCCACGTCCCAAATTCAAGCAATTCTCCTGCCTCAGCCTCCTGGGTAGCTGGGATTACAGGTGCACACCACCACACTCTGCTAATATTTTTGTATTTTTAGTAGAGACAGAGTTTCACCATGCTGGCCAGGCTGGTCTCCAACTCCTGAACATGTGATCTGCCTGCCTTGGCCTCCCAAAGTGTTGGGATTATAGGCATGAGCCACTGCACCCGGCCTTTTATAATTGATGATTTATTTATTTCTATTTTATTTTGAGACAGAGTTCTGCTCTTTTTGCCCAGGATGGAGTACCATGGCTCCATCTCAACTCACTGTAACTTCCACCCCCTAGGTTCAAGCAATTTTCCTGCTTCAGCCTCCCAAGTAGCTGGGATTACGGGCACCCGCCACCATGTCTGGCTAATTTTTCTATTTTTTAGTAGAGACGAGGTTTCACCATGTTGGCCAGGCTAGTCTCAAACTCCTGACCTTAGGTGATCCACCCACTTCGGCCTCCTAAAGTGCTAGGACTACAGGCGTGAGCCACTGCGCCTGGCCCCTGCTCATTTTAGACTGAGGCTGGGAGAACAAGTGATTGGCCAAAGTCCCGAGAGTGGATCAAAGCTGAGCAGGTAGAATTCTCTGGGCTGGCCTGAGTGCTGCGGCCTGGCAGATGAGGGACAGGTTGAGGGGTAGCGTAAGCAGCAGACTGCGTGCAGAGCTGGGAGCAGTGGTGTAGCCGCAGGGGTGGCTGGAAGATCCTGGAACTCAGGGTGAGATGGAGGGATGGGACTTTCCAGGTGTGTGCGGCACTCCCCACCCCCTCCCTGGCTCCCCTCAACCCTCATACGACAGACTCCCCAAGGCCCCCACTCCCTCCACACTTGGGCAGGTGCCCTCCCTGGCACACCCCTCACCTGTGGTGCTTAACATATACACAATCTCCCTGAGCCCTGAAGGCCCTGCTGTAAGATGCCAGAAGTAAAAGTTAGGAACGAAAATGGGAGTTTCTCTTCCTTCTTCCTCCTTCCTTTCTCCTCTAGGCCCCACGGCGTCCTGCCAAGAGACAGATGGGAAGGCAGGAAGAGTATTTTCACGGGAGGGGGTGATGCTTACAGGCAGACGGATGCTGGCTCTGCCTCTAAAACCTGTTGCTCTAACCTACTGAGCTGCTGCCCTCCACAGTGAGACTCCCAGGAGAGAGAGGAGGAGCCAAGGCTAGCTGCCTTTGCTGGCCAGAATCCAACCCTAAATGATACTTGGCATGTTAAAAAATACTTGTCAAGGCCACAGGGCTCCGGTGAGTCTTGTTTTCTTTTTCTGCCCTGTTTTCTTTCAAAAAGGATTAGAGACAGCTTACAAAAATACGTAAAATACAATAGGATAAAAATAGATCACAGAGAAAACACTGGAACAAACAGTACAAGGAACCAAGAGGGTAGGACACAGCAATGTTCTTTGGCTGGGCCTCCACAGTTCTCAAAGGTGGGCTGCAACAGGATTCTGAGCTTCCTATCAGTCAGAGCAAAGAGGGAAATCCGCTGGTTTTGAGACTCACAAAATCCACAAGATTAAAACCAATCCTGGTTGGGAACACAGGCGTGTGCCACCATACCTGGCTAATTTTTTTTTGAGATGGAGTCTCGCTCTGTCACCCAGGCTGGAGTGTAGCAGCACAATCTTGGCTCACAGTAACCTCCACCTCCTGAGTTCGAGATTCTCCTACCTCAGCCTCCTGAATAGTTGGTATTACAGGCACCCGCCACCACGCCGGTATTTTAGTAGAGACCAGGCTTCACCATGTTGGCCAAGCTGGTCTTGAACTCCTGACCTCAGGTGATCCTCCCACCTTGGCCTCCCAAGTGCTGGGATTATAGGTCTGAGTCACTGCACCTGACCTCCACAACAGTCTTACAATAGAGTGCTATGGTCGGAATGTTCCCCTCAAATTCATATGTTGAAATCCTAACCTCCAAGGTGACGGTATTTGGAGGTGGTGCCCTTGGGATGTGATCCGGGCAGGAGACGGAGGCCTCATGAATAGGATTAGTGCCCTAATAAAAGATGCCTCAGAGAATTGACCTGTCCTTCCCCAACCTGAGGACAAAGC